GACCTGTGGATATTTACAGGTACAAACGAGGCTGTAATTATTTCTCATCAATACTGTTGCGAGTCCAATTACTGCAAGTATCTTAGGGGGGAAGGGCTTTAAGTTGAAATGAAGTTTTCGGTTCATACAAAGCGTTCTTTTCTATAAACTTTTCTTTTTCTTTTTAAGAAATGCGTGCGCGCAAAGGCTGCTGGCCGCACATGTTCCTCTAACTAGACAACAGTTCATGGGTGCAAGGAGATAAGCCTGAATACGTCTGGGAAAAAAGCGATTTCAAAACAAAAATTGTTTTCTCTTTACGGCCATATAACTGATAAGGATTATTGAGCCAGCTGGGATAAAGTAATCTAGTTATCGATAATTAGAACAATTTCAAATTAATTATCTCTTTTAACTATTCGAAATTTTAGGGAATTACAGTAAGATTGTCTCGATAGATGGAGCGCCGGGGCATTGTAGGGTTTGCAACAGAAAGGATGCATCTTGTTACCATCCCGGGACACAATAAAAGAGGAATTATGCACACGTGAACATGTTTATATCAAGAATCTTACTTTCTAGAAATATTTTAAAACCTCCTCAGAAAGTCAAAAAATTGTGTCCTTTCATGTAGACAGCCATTCTTAAACATGTGGTAGAAGCTTTTATGGGACATGGGGTGTCCGCTTTTACGGGGTCTGGAGTAGATAACTGTCAAGGGTAGCTGATGATGTCATGTACCAGCCCTCTAGACCCTACACTCAAAGCCCTATTTTGGCCCTTGTTTTAGTCACCCATCCCACCTTCATTCTTCGGTCACGTTCCCCTATTTTTGTAATAAAGTCAAAATGCTCCCAGTTCGCGATTAATATACGTACGAATGCATTGATTTTATTCAATATCATTTAATTACAGTATCCTCGTGTGAATCTTAATGACTACTCCGAGAGCATGCTTCCACATACCCACAATTAAATCAGACAACTTAAAAGTTCTCTTGAGCCAAAATCCATTAGCAAGTTGCGGAATGCTGGCGGACTGTTAAAACAAAGCGTTGTTTTTAACTCGATGTCTGGGACACGAGAATTTTCCAGTTTCATAAACGAATTACTCATTTCATTGGAATTTTTTATAGATTAACAAGTTGATGTTGGGGACAGTCCCTTTGAAACTGGGTAAACATAAGATAGGGACAGTCGATTTCGGATATGCTATTTAATCTGCACCACCTTAGTAAAATATGTTGGAATTTCAAATTTGACAAACATGGATCGGTGAAGAGGAAGGGAAGGTTGTAGGGGCAAATTTCTCGCTGAATTTATAAAAATGGCCAGGCCAGTTGATCCTGTTGCACGGGTTGGTATTGAAAATGGAGATTATCATGTTAATTTAATAAAAGCGAAGTCACGGCAATTTTATTCGGCAGCAAACTTCAAGTATCCAAGTGGGCCTAGACAAATGCATAGCGAGTTCCAGCATGGAAACAGTGAGGTGAAGAAAAAACATGGTTCCTATTCAATAAGGAGTGATTTCACGCGAAATGAACCCCATGAACACAGGCAACGGGTTGATAATTTGAAATATTTTGGATACGCAGGACAATTGAAGAGACAAGAAGATGTTTTTGATAAAGGCATTGGAATTTCAATAGCTAGTAATGCACATTTGAATGATGACGTTAAGGATTTTTGTGGAAAGCTTTTGTTAAAAGAGAAAAGAAATGATGAAAAAGCTTTTGTCAATTGTGGAAGGAATCTTGAAGGAGATGAGATTGGCCGCAATCAGAAAGTTGTCTCGCCCAGGAAGGATGTTGCTGAAGACAGCCAGGGTTTGAGGGGAAGAGTCACCGCTGGGAATAATTTATCAGGTCGAAATGTTTGTGAAAAACCAAGATTAGATAAGCAAACAGAAGGAAATACCAGTGGGAAACGGGTGACTGTTAATGGATTTGTAAAAACCTCAACCGATCGGAGTTTTTTATGTGGAAATAAACAAGACGGCGAGGTTTTCCATAGAAGTGAAAGTATCGATCAAACTCGGCCTAAATTGAAGCCAACGAATATAAAAATTGTGTCGAAAAGTTACGATAGCGGCAGAAATGGAGGAATTTCTGATGGAAAAGTCAATAATGATGGGAAAGGAAAGGCAAGAGTTGTGATCAGGTCCTTCGATGAAAGTAGTGCGAATACTCCGAGAGAAGTTACTGTGCCGAAGTTAGATTTGAGCAGTAATTCCGAAGAGGAGAAGCTCAGTACAAATAACAGGTACTCAAGAACAAGCGACAGTACAAATTTGAGAAGAATAAAGCTAAGTTCTTCAGGATCCATTGAAAATAAATCGTGTCCAGAATTTGGCAAGATGAACAGAGACACTATTGCTTCGAGAGACAAACCCACGATAAGAAGTGAAGGTAGAGGGAATTTAAATGATCGGATTGTGAAAGTCCAGAGGCATTCTGTTGATGTCTTACATGCAAGGCAAGGCAGCGACCCGACATCGTTACAATCAGCGAGAAAATTATCAAGTGTTTCACAAGATCTTATGAGGTAATAATCATTGTTTATTATATATATAGTTTGTTTATCTTTATTTCAAGCCTATAACTCATTCTCTTGAAGAACCTTAGTGCATATTACAGACTGAGGGGATGAATATTTTTTTGAGGGGGTCTACATGGATAGCCAAGTGCAAAAAGATTCATTGTATGACTTTTAGTAAATTTCTAGAAGAATTGGGGCTAAGCCCCCTCAACCCCACTTTTGCTGTCCCTGCTCCATTTTGATAGATCCATAAACTGATATTATACCCCTTTGAAGTAATAAATTTCTGGGTCTGTTCTTCTTTGATTTGAAGCCCCTGTTCCCCCTTCTATCCTTCCCCTGGCCCCCATATTTAAAATCATATATATATCCTCTCATTTTAAAACCCATATCTATGACTTTATCAATATATTTGTATTTGTATGGACCAAAAGCTATCATGACTCAACAGCCTTTTCTAGGTTTCAAAACCCGCCCACTTGTCTCTTTGCTTTTGTTTAAAAGTTTCACAGCCTCCCTTCATGAAACCTTTTCAGCAAAATCTCCAAATTTGACATTATTTTCAAAAGTTCACAACCTTAGAATTTCTTATCCTTGTGCCTAACATTCATGCACATTTTCTTGAGTACACTGCCAACACATTTATGTTATATTTTTGTTCTGTTCCTCATCAAAGCATCATTTCTAATATATTGATGCGTCCTTTAAGGATGGTAACCCTTTTTAAAAGTTAAAAGCACCATTAGTGCTGTAATTACTATATGCCCCTCTAAAAATTGTAAATATTCTTTTGGCTGCCCCCCTCCCCTTGTAATCAGACAAAATTTGTCACATTTTAGGCTCCATTTGGACCATTCTGTCTCAATGAAGCAATAATATTTAGGCAAGATCCATGCTTACCCCCTCCCCCAAACGTTTTACATCTGTTGTGACCATGGTTTTATCCAGAACTTCTAAAATCAATTTCCCAGGAATCTGTGTTGGAAATTCCTAAAATTTTGAATCCTTCACAGGTTTAAAGGTTTAACCTATGAGCTTATGTGTTTAGCTAGCATAAATGCACCTACATACATCTTTGTTATTCATATGCAAATTTGCTAGAGAATCAATTCATGGATTTTACTTGTATCAGCATGCCATTCTGGACCTTAAATGACCTTGCTTTTGTCCACTAAACACACCTATGTGGAAAAAATTGACATTATTTTAAACTGAAAGCAAAGAGCAAGTAACAGCTCATTTTTTCAATCTTTGAAACTAAGTTCAGCTCAGCTAGAAGTCCAAGAAGACCTCTGTTTATACATGGGCAGTTTTTTGAAATTCAAAATTGTTAGAGGGCCTAGGATTACATATCAAAGTTATCTTTATCAAAATTGGAAATCAGGAAAGCTATTTCACTTGGACATAAAGTGTTGGCATTTCTTTTGTCATGAGTTCGTCCTGCTTCAAGGAAGGATGACAGATACTTCAAGGGATTAGGTAAAAGTTGACAAATCCAGTATTTTTTTGCTGGGTGCACTAGAAAGCTTAGATGGAAATTTAACACCTAATGTTAGAAGACCATAGAGATTGTGTTTATCACAATTTATTCAGAATTGAACTACTTTCAGTTTAGAAATTATTAATATAGGCAGGTGACTCTGGAGGGAGAAAGATTGAATCCATACCAATTTCATGAACCCAGACCATGAATGCAGATACCAAACTAAAATTGATAACAAAATAACAGTGATTAAGTCAAGCTGAAAGATAAATATAAAAAAGGCTGTTTCTGTTTTCAATGTGGGAATTGGAGGATAGTTCAGAAAAGGAGAACTTTGTCTCATGTTTGATTTTAGGAATTGTAGTAATTTCAAACATTAAAAAGTTTACAATCTTTTGGTGCTACAAAACTAAAAAATGGCTTTGAAAAAAGCAAACATTTGAGTATACTAAACCTCTTTTGTCCGACACTCTTCAGAGTTTAAAAAATCAGAACTTAGATAAAAAACTCCACGCTAGGAAGTATTCTTTCTATATAAAAGATGAATCAAGAAAAGTGATATGGCAATTTGGTATGACAATTTGAAGTCTGTGAAGGTTACCCCAGAAGTAAGTTTCATTTTGACAAATGCATTTCAACGTTCCCTCCCAGGCATAGATTTGAAACATTATCTTATCAGTTAAACTATCTGTGGTGAAAGGCTGGGTTTCCTTGATGAAAAGTTCAAATGTAAACATTTTGGAAACCTCCCAACTTTTTAAATTTTTGTTGTTTCTTTTTTTACATGTTATTGTCTGTGATTATTTAATCACTTCCTTTTTGATAAGGATCAAGCAATTTTTCATAACATACTGTGTTTTTGAATGCAGTGAGTCATTTTTTGTTCTTTGTCTTTGCAAAATGGGATCACTATTTTACATCAAATGGTTTAAGACAGATATTTCGAGTCATAAAATGTTATGAAGCTAAAGCCATTAAAATTATGTAATGGTTGTGCTGATAAACTAGCGCCTCTTAAGAGGCATTGTCTGGTTCCCTTTCGCAAGGACACCTGTATCATAGAGTAATGAACCCCTTGCCCTTAAATTTGACATTTTTTTTCACTCATCTTTTGTTTGTGCTTGCCCCCTGCCCTCTTTGAGTCCAGGCTTTCCTATCCTGGTCTAAGGCCAGTTTCTGTGGTCCAAGTTTCTGACCTTGAGATAATCTAATAAAAATTCTTGGAATATTTTGTTGCAAATTTAGCTATTCCGCTGGGAAGCGAACCTTTCCAAGCTGCTGATAACTGTGTTTTCTCCGCACAAATAAAGACTTATTTTATAAATAATCTCTCGAGTGGTTTGTTTCAAAAACACGAGGATGGTTTTGTTATTGTACACCTTTGGGAAAATATTCCGTATAACCGCATATTTTGGATCTTTAACGGAGATAATCCTAGTGATACATTATCGTTTGTTGTCAAGGTGACAAATTTGACCCAGGTCTCTCCGTGGGATATCGATAGAATCCTTCAGAGATGACGTCATTTTTGTTAAATTTGGATCACATAGCCTGAAAGAACACAAACAGTGGCGTAACGCACCAAAGTTATCTTTAGTTCAAAAACTAAGGACCCCCCAGCCTTAAGGGGCCCAAGCAAAGAAATTTTCTATATTATTTTACGTTGAAGCTTGTATTCTGGATATGATAAACAATAAGGTCGTCCCAAAGCCTGTGTGCAGGGGTGTAGAGCTAGAGGGACTCAGGGGGGCTGATCCCCCTTTGTTAATGCCGAAAATTGGCAAATTTCTACTTTTGCTATTGTTTTCTGCAGCATTTTGTGCAGGGGCCCCCTTGTTATTTTGATAGCACTACAGCACTGCCTGTATGATGTGTCCAAATAACTGGATAGTCTATTTATTAGAATTTGATGCTTTATTTATGCTGTGTTGCTAATGCCAACAATGTGACAATGAGCCCTGAAGTGACAAATCCCTAGGGGCCCCGTCTGCCACCGTTACGCCACTGAAAAACAAATTAAGTTTGTCACAAGTGAACTCAATTATTGCAAGTGTAAGAGCATAGTTTCCTGGTGTATTACTGTTGTTTGGCCTGGCTCATAGATTTTACAACCTAGACCAAATTACAGTGATTGGACGTGGAAATAGGCTGTACTCAATTTGTCTGAATTTCGGGACTTTTGCAGATTACCTTGCTTCTCGAAGACTCAACGCCGTCAGCTTTCTATTGTTCACTGTTTCAACGTAATGGTTATTATTTGTTTATCTGTACTACCGTTTTCACAAAATGCAAAGAAACCTTGTTTTCTTGTACTTGCAAGTCCTTAAACTCCAAAACTACTACATCTGAAATCAATATCTACTGCAGTGAAACTTTTCAGGAAGAAATATCGAATATTTTATTAAGAGTTACAAAAAAACAGGTTTCGAAATAGCCATTTTATAAAATTCAAACTCTCCTATGTGCTCATCTGGCGTGTCTACAGATTTTCAGAGGCCTGAGCCGAATATGACGTCATCCACTATTCCTGTTCTATAATGTATTGTGGTGCAATAACTTGCTCTTCGGATTTCCCCAACTCACATGTTAAACAGCCAGGCTGTCTGGGCATGCCTTTAAATTGGGACTTAAGAAAACAAGACCCTCTTTGTTCATAGAAAAGGTGATTTATAATTCGCATATCTTTGAATTCTGTTTCGTTTTTTATAGACGATGAGTCATCTCATATGTCTGGCAAAACCTGCAGCCTGTGGAAAATCCCTATAACAAACTCATTTGTCTTGTTTACTTTCATGGAATTATTGTAGGCTAGAAAAAGGGATACATGCCCCCAAAAAAGCACTACAAGACCCTGCAAACCCGGTTTGGTCATCCTTTTCCATTTTCAAGACGCCTAAAGAAATAAAGGAAAAATCGCAAAAAAAGTTTACTGCGAAGCCCAACTTTGTACGGTTTTACCAAAACAGAGCAGCCCCGTAATTTGTTTCTTTTTGGTTGTAACATGTTTATACAATCTTTATTCAGATGTATAACTTTATATTTTAATTTAGCTGAAAAAGTTAGTTTAGTTTATAGACAAGAACTGTGGAGCTTATTGTAGGCTAAACATGCTGAAAACCAAGAGCAGGGTGTACTTCTGTATGGTTTTAAATACATTTTGCAACTTTT